TTATGTTAAAACTGATTATTAAAATGAGAAAGCGTTATATTTGCATTACTTTGTTATTTTCAAATTAAACAAAAAATCGAAATTTTGTTGAATGTTTTACAAGTTTTAATTTTTAAAGCTTTGAGAAGAAAAATGTTAACATCGACGTCATCTCTTTTCTTAGTAAGAGTGTTTTTTCAGAATTCAGAATTAGTAGATTCAACAAATAGTTCTTTAATTATGAAAAAAAATCAGTTTTCTCAATTTCGTAGACAAGTTTTGTCGTTTTCCAAAATTTTTGGTTTTTGCATTAAAAAATGAGAATGTGCGAATTTTTTAGTATTTTTATAATAAGAAAACTAATATAGTGATAATATTAGTAAAAAAAATTGTAAAAAATATAATGTAAAAATTTTTTTTATATTTTTTTATAGTAGAGCTTTTAAAGCATGTTCAATTATTTATAACACGTGGGCTGATATTAAAACTAAGTATATTTTTAAATACATAAAGTACTTATGTGGGCCGATAACCCACACACGAATAATAATAAAATGACATCACAAGGCAAACAAAAGTCACTTAATCTAATACCAATTCCGATAAAAAAAAATTCATAAAATCCCTATGAAACCACCAACTCGGCACAAATTCAATTTCGTCGTCTATAAACTGATCAAGCGTCCCAATTCCACTCATAATAAATAATAATAATTAAAGTGACGAATTTTGCAGTTTTACCACACAACAAAACGAAAAAAATGTCCACTCAACAAGAAAAAGGAAATTACTCCAGCTCTAATCTCGTCTCATTTCCTCCAAACCGTTAATCAAACATGAGAAAAAAACGTAATCTCGTAAGATTTGATTAAAAATTGTGCAAAACTGGAGAAATAGTGGTCATGTCATGACCTCGTTTGCAGAATAAAGCAATTATTTGGTGTCTTTGAAGATTTAATCGTTACTAAGAGTTACTGGACTGAAAAATTGAGACACTGAAAGCTCTATCGGCTTTCAGAAAAAATCAAATTTCTAATCAAAGTGGCCTGTGACTTTGACATCAAGTTGGCAACACTGACGTGGATTAGACTGTGGCACATGACGTTTGAATTTGACAGACAGTGATCAAAATTTAATAAAAAAAAAATAGATACAAATGACAATTGAATTATGACGTTTAAAATTAAATGTATAATAAATAATAAAAAATAGTAGAGCTTTAAAAAATATTAAAAAAAATTATGTTATACTTTTTTACAAATTTTTTAGAAATATTATCGCCCTTTGACGTTCTCTTATTAGAAAAACACTAAAAACTTCGCAAATTCTCATTTTTTAATAAAAAAACTTTCAAAAATTTTGGAAAATGACAAAAGTTGTTCAAATTTTAATAAACTTGTCTACAAAATTGAGAAAACTG